AAGCAGAAATGCACTGGGAAGGGCAGGGAAAAGTGGAAATGCACCAACGGTAAGAGAGGGCAGATGTACAGCAGAGCCAGGGGAGGGTTTTAGTGCAGCACTGATAGCTCTGGTGCCTGTGCAAGAACTAGTTCATGTACAGAAGTGCTGCAGCCTCGGGAAATGCAAAGGCCACTGTGGACTTCACTGCTGGGGTACAACATGTTGGAAAAGCCCAGCAGAGGAGAARAAGAAAGAACTGTCAAAGACAAAATATTTTAGATGGAATTTTTATTAAAACCRTAGCTCAGCTTTAATAATGTGCAACTTGCTGTTAAATGCAGCTGCTCTGGGCAGAGTTTAAGGAGTTTCATGGAAAATATTTAAGTATAAATCTTCCTGAAGAGTCAAGCTGGGGGAACAACAAAACTGCCCACTGTGAGGCACTCATACAATTATTTGCTGGAATAAAACCCCAACAACAGCTTGTCATGGACAGAGTATCATTTTGCCATTTGAAAATGCACACTGGTTTGGTTTACTTCTGAAGAATGCTTCACAGAATGAACTTGGTCAAAAAAGACATTTGAGATCATCAAGTCCAACCTATAACCCAACACCTCTTCATCAACTGAACTGTGGCWCTGAGCACCACATCCACTCTTTTTTTGACYACCTCCAGGAATGRTGAYTCCACCACCKCCCTGGGCAGCCCATCCTAGCACCCAATCACTCTTTCAATGAAGAAATTTTTTTTCTAATGTCCTGCCTAAACTTAAGAAATGTGTCCTCTTGTTCAGTCAGTTGTTGCCTGGGAGGAGAGATTAATTCCCACCTGACTACAATCTCCTTYCAGGTAGTTGTGGAGTGTGATAAGATCCCCTCTGGGCCTCCTTTTTTCCTGTCTTATGTCGTGCCCCAATTATTTCCATAGGTTTAGGAAAAGGAGAGTGGAATGAATATAGGTTTGAACAGGAGAAAAAAAAAAGTGTGGTCTGACTCTAAGCAAGGCTGTACACTGCGCTTCTGGGAGCTGGTAGCTGAGTCTGAACCGGAGGAAAAGGGACAAGAGGAAAGGAGCACACAGGGAAGGAGAAAACAAGTACCTTAGTGGAAAAGAATAACTTTAACGAAAAGGGAGATTTTATCTTCTCTCCCAGTAATTGCAGATTTCCGTTGGCTTTCAGGAGCAGATAGAGTCGCTGGTCTTCTGCTCCCGCTTAGATGTGCAACCGCGCTGTGCGGAGCTGCTTCTTCCTCCTCTAAACTAGCTACTTCTACACTACTGTGTGATTATTCCCAGTCCATTGCCCAACGGTGGCGCTCTCCAGCGATCAGACGAAGGACCGCCTCCCCTCCGGATAACGCTGTCGGACGAAATTCGGCTTCTTCTACCACCACGCAAATAYCAGACCCAAGGCGGCGCTCTCCGTGACGCTATGGCCCCCACATGATGCTGGGGCTGGCCCGTTCGCTGCGCTGCTCGCTCGGCGCCTCTCAGGCTCCCAGAGGCTGATGACAACAACCGGAACACATGGGGGCCGAGCTGGGGTGGGAATCGAACCCGGGACCTCGTACACTCGCGCATCGGCGCTCCAAGCCGCAGAGCCAACTCATGCTCCAGGCCTGGGGCCGCGCGTTCGGGTGGTGATTGCCGCTGCCCCGCCTCTCCCGCTGTGCCTGCGCCTGTGGGGCGTTTCTCGGGGCGCTGCTCCTCGGGGTGCTGATCCTCGGGGTGCTGTTCCTCGGGGTGCTGCTCCTCGGAGTCCTTTCCTCGGGGTGCTGCTCCTCAGGGTGCTGCTCCTCAGGATGCTGTTCCTCGGGGTCGTTTCCTCAGGGTCCTTCCCTCGGGGTGCTGCTCCTCAGGGTGCTGTTCCTCGGGGTCCTTTCCTCGGGGTCCTTTCCTCAGGATCCTTTCCTCAGGGTGCTGTTCCTCGGGGTCCTTTCCTCGGGGTCCTTTCCTCAGGATCCTTTCCTCAGGGTGCTGTTCTTCGGGGTCCTTTCCTCGGGGTGCTGTTTCTCGGGGTCCCGTTTGTCCCGGAATTCCTACCTTTTTGTGCGATGTTTCCCGGTGTGTCCTTTCCTCAGGGTCCTTTTGTCGGGGTGCTGCTCCTCGGGGTCCCGTCTCTCCCGGAATCTAACGTTTGTGCGATGTTTCCCGGTGTCTCCCCAGCTCCCCGGGCAGAGCAGCCGTGCCAGGCTGGYTGTGCTTGGCCTGCGGCTCCCTGAGGGACTGAGGAAAAGAGGGATGGAGGCGATKCCCGAGGGGACCCGTGGAGAGAGAGCAGGGTTCCTGGGGGGACTTGTGACCCCATGGAACTGCATCCTGTGGAAGAGGGACCCACGCTGCAGCAGTTTCTGGAGAATTGTCTCCTGTGGGACGGACTTGTATTGGGGAGGTTCATGGAGAACCACATCCCATGGGAAGGACCCCCCTC